ACTAGGAGCAAAAACGCTACTAGGAGCAAAGGGCATCGCTACTAGGAACCAAATCATTGAGGCTCGTGCTTCTTCAATGAAGCTCCCCCCATGTTCCCTTTACTGCCTTTGGGGCGATGGGAAAAGCATCGTGCCTCACCCCCATGGCTTAAAAAAGCAACTCTGAGAACCTGGAGGAAGTTTTGTGATTGAACATCGCCCCAACTTTGGAGGGTGAGTTTGATAGCTCGTTTCGCTCAGGCCAACACTTCAGCCGATGTTGCTGGAATGTGACGACCCAATACCAGAGAATCCTTTCCACTGGCAGGAGGAGGCTTCGTTTGGGTAAGCAAGGGGTGTTTGGTGTTTATGATGGGATGACTTTGGTAAGCCAGTTGACGGAACATGCATAAAATGCCTTGCTCACTCCTCGGATCAATAGCAATGAACAGTCAATATGCGTATAGTATATACTACATACGCAATGCTAAGCCATCCTGAGTTTCTGGCCTTGGGCAGCTGTGCTTGCGTACTGCTTGTATACATCAAGATTCATAGATTCATTTTTCACGAGTGTTGTGCTGGAATTCATGCTGGAAGTCAATGAGAGTCACAGCTCATTGTTGTTCCTCGGGCCATCTTTCAAACAAACCACTTGGGTAATCTATCAGCCATCAGCATCCATCAGCCAACGCTCAAGATAGCTGTTGTTTTTTTGTTCTGTTGTTTTAAGCTGTCGCCATGTACTTCCCGCCCGTGGAAATGTTTAAAATGTGATTGCAAAAATTGACAAGTTCGCCTTCAGTGCCTGTGTTCAAAACTCACTCCTGGCTCGTCGAAATCGCAACACTGACTCGTCCCAAGGTGGGAGAGGAAATGCGGCATAGAGCCACTGATGCATCTCATGCCTCAGCGTCCTCCTCTTCTCGAAGCCAGTTGATGTTGTCTGTCGAGTTTAGGCTGGGCTGTTGGCAGTGGAACGCTTTCGAATCCAATTGAAGCTTGTGTAGTCCTAGTAGTTCAATAATGTGGCTCAGTAATGCAATATGCTTAAGCTGGTGGCACTGCTCGTTTCTTCTTATCCGCTTCTCCAGGGCCTACAGACTCTAAGCAAATGATGTCATTTTTGATCAAGTTTGCAGAAGGCACACTCGTTCAGACCACCAGGTTCAGCGTTTGTTGTAGGTATCCCAGCCGTTCTGTATACACTATTGGGCTTACTTTGCGAAACCTTGCCTGCCAGATTGCCAGCAGAAGACACTTCTTCTCCGCGGCTGCAAGAAAGCCTACCTTCCTCGACAATGCCAGAGCGAAACAAGTCCAACAAGGCAGAGGGCAGAAAGGACCATAGACATGTAGAGGATGCGGACTACATTGGTCGGACAGCGATTGGTACTCTGCAGAGATAGCGGACAGCCCTTCTAAGTTGCAGCTGATTCTCAGGCTGCAAGTGGTGCCGCTGCGGTGGATCTCTTCCTTGGAGAGCCACAAGTGGTGGGCTGGGAAAGGTGGAAGAAGATCTTGAAGGCTAGCCTGAGCCACAAAAGAGTTCAAATATAATATTTGGCTTTCACTCCAGATTAAGCCTAAGATATGTCCAGCCTGATTTGCCACTTTCACTCCAGTATGAATTGCAGTATATCGGCCATATATATTAAGCCCCTGGGGACGTTTGCGCACTGCTCCCATTCTTGGCGTGACAGGCATCTATTGATTATGTAGCTGCAATCCTGGTGTTATTGAATTCTATCGTTCTGATGTTGGAGCTGCTGGGCGGAACTCAAAGCTGAAGAAAGTTGGTGTCACAGCTCATCAGGTTACTCAATGGGATTGCAGGATTGCATGTTTCAATGGTGAAGTACTTGACATTCTACACCAACGGAACACTCCTCAGCAACCCCATTCACCCAATGCCGAATTCATGCAGTACTGGTCGACCCCGTGTATTCGCTTGTGTATTCACGCACTAGACCTCGCAAATGAGTAGAGCACAAACTGGAAGGCAGTAGTTGGAAAGGAGCTGTTTCTGACGGTGTTGTGTGGCTTTCCAGACTTTCACTACTGATCCTTGAGTTTTCCAAGGCTAGAATTCAAGGGCAATGCAGCCGGAGCCAAGATGGGACTCTCATCCGGGCCTACTTTGGATACTCGGCTTTGGAGTTACTGGCTTTTGATCACATGCAATGATTGCATTGGAGTCGCCGGCTTTTGATCATAATTGCTTTTTGCTGCAGGATGAAATTGAGCCGATTTTTCAAGGTCTCGATAGGCAAGCTGCAGCGATAACGCCAACCTGCCTGCATCGCATATCATTAGCTAATGGTGCTAAAACCAAGAAGTCACTTTACCTGAAACCATTGTCAAGACACTGTGAACACTGGGCCTGTCAGCAAGCTCCGGCGGAGAAAGCTGTTGAACTCAGCTAATCAGCGCCGCGCTAAATGGAGACAACATTCGCATATATATATATATATACATACAGAGTACAGTAAATAGTAAACCGTACATGTTGATAGAGCCTGTGTATGTCTATGTTTGTATTTGTTTGGAAGAGTGCATTCAGACATTTCATGCAGAAACTGTTCAGAAGCTCAGTTCCGGAATTTGGCTCCCCAACGCAGTAAGTAATCCTGAGATTCTGAGAGAATCGTTTGCATTTTGACGGAATATGTTCTTGTGTCTTATTTGATGCCTCCGCATTTGACTGCCAGATTCTTTGTGTTCATCTTCTTAGCGGAGCTTTTGGTACGCATCATGGTGGAGCAATGCGACTTTTGTAAGGAAGCTTGGACGCAGCGCAACGCAGTTTAAACAAACTTCGGCTTTCCAATCAAGCCATAGTGACTTAGCATGCACTGTTCTCAAACCACGAGCAAGAGGGGTTCCCGAGGTTTTGTTCTTGACGTTGCTTGCCAGGAATGGACCAATTATTTGGATGCGTCGCTGGTGATACTAGGCCTCGTGGACTTTGGCTTTAGCCTGCAGGCAGCGCTACGGTGCAGTAGTATCAGCAAACAATGCAAAGCAAGAAGAAGGCCCAGGCAACAGTATATTATATATATAAATGCAACGTGGCTAAGCTCAGAATGCTTGCACCATTAGATGTTGTTGGGAACCTGTGGGCTCCTTGAAAATTGACGAGTGCATATGTGCAACACATCATGTCCGAACAGGAGTCCAGTCTAAAGCCGCAAAACTTGACATTGTTTGTCGTCCTTGCTGTTCACAGAGTGTATGAATTTACGACGGCTTGAAGCGGCTTGTATCCACACCCCACATTCATGTTGTGTAGGTGACAGATGGAGACGTAGTGCCAAAGGACATTGTGCTCCTGCTTCCTGGCAACCAACCTTGATTCCTTGCTAGGGTTCATCAACATCGTGCGCATGCTTGTGTGTATATATATATAGATAGATAGATTATTCATTGTAATGATCATGCAAAGCCGGCAGCGCTTCTTTTTTTGAAATCACAAGTCGAATCAACTCCGTTTCGACCTTGTTTTTTGGCTCGGGGAGAGTGCATGGAAATCTGGTTTTCTCGTATAGTAAGGCAGAGCATACATGCTGATTTAAAATGATTAAACTTGCCATTCTTGCCTCCAAAACGTATTTTTTGAGTGCCAAGGAGACTGATGCGAGCCTTGAAGTCCCTCAGGGCTATCCGCATGATGAGAAGCTTTCGGCTCTTTCGAGGCCGGCTGGTCCAACTTATAGGAGTCGAGTCAATCAGCAAAGTCATTGAATTGTCACATCGCAATGATATACCAGCTTCCAGTGGATGTCCTGCAAACAGACATTGTGTGAGTGTGCAGGCCTGCTTTGTTTATCAGATGATGCCCATTGATATATATATATATACATATATATATATATTATATGTACATTCGTGGAAGTCACTGCGTGCTTTGCCAGGGTTACGCTTGCTTGTACCCTGGCCGAAGCTTGAGGAGAGTATACTTGCTTTGTCAGTGACATGTTATCGCAGATGCAAGAAGTTGATATATGTTGACCTATTGTTCAACATGAGGTCAAGGCATGCCAATGCTTCTTACCATCCCTTTGTTGGGCTATGGTGCTTCTCGGTGTATTTATGACAATGGGGGCATTGATCATGGGAGTCTCGGCGGCAGAGCAAGAAGGGATGGGGAACAGAGTCTACTTTGGAAGTGGGGTGCATGTCGAGCAAGGCTTGAGCAACCCCAACACACACACACATGCCATCCGGAGGTTTGAGTCCTGAGGTTTTCAAATCAGCAAGTCAATACCGCAGTCCGACAACTTGCCAACACGAGCATTGACAAGAATCCTAGCCCCAGGGACTAAGCAAATCTCACCAACATCCAAGTCATACATGCCAACACGCCTAGGCAATTTACTTCAGAGTTTTGTGACTGATGAAGAAGCCAATTTCGAAGATCGTGAGTGGATTTGGATGCGTGACTGGGCTTTCACGGTCACGCTGAAGGAATTGATTAAGAAATATGAAAGAGATCATGATGTGACTTTGCATGCTTTCAACATGATCAGACCGAATATGTAGAGAGGGTCCCAGCCGTTGTTCCGAGGCTATGGCACAGCTTACCGGGCTACCTATACACTCTATGAGATCCTTTGCTTGAGCTTTTGTGTCAAGCTTCCTCCAATTTCTTACTTTTCACTACCTTTGCTTAAACATGGAGGGACCTCAAGCGAGGGCATTGCAAAGCGCACGCGTGGGGGGTTCAAGACCATTGCTGCCACATGTTCAGTGGTGCTGTAGGATGATGGGAATTACAATGTGATACAGATGTTTACAGATTGAAGGTGAAGAACGTGTGTCGTCACTTTGCGGTGCATTTGTTGCTGGCGTGCAACTAGCTGTACACACTCTCAGGTGGAAATTGAGGGCAATCACTTGTAGTAGCGTTGAGGGTGGAAAGAGCGGCCGATTGGATGTAGTGCTCAAGCCGCCGACCAATGGCACGGCCTTCCTGGCATGTCCTCTTGGAAGGCCAAACTGTTCGCTCTAAGCGCTGATTGTGCATGTGTTATAGTTACAATTTACAATGTTATTGAATTTATATGCTGAATTCTCCATGGTGACGCGTGGTCAGGAGTTCATTCGCTTCCACGGAATCATCGGGTTGTTTCATCCTGCGGTCTTTCTTGGCAGTATATAAAGTGCACAAAGGTTTAGGATTCATTTCGGCTCAAAGTCTTTTGCTACTAGTGGCTTCTTGCTACTAGTAGCTGATTAGCCAACCAACCTACCTGTTGCAAGCTTGTAGATGGGGGTTTGTTGAAGCCTCTTCAGCATTATACAACCATACCAGACAGTACCAAGTATTATGCCAATTGTTGCAAGAGGCCAGCACTTGCCGGTTGTTCGTCTCTTCTTTTGACAGCCTTGGATTGAATAGCAGTTGGTTCGATCAAACGCATTACCAGAATCTCAACCATTTGTCAGTAGCACGAGCACCCATTTTTGACTCAGTGCCGCTCCAAGGATTACTTTCGCCGCTCACCTGGCAATGGATCACGTTTCCATTTGGGTGTTTGAAGAGTCAATAGTAGTGTGGAGCTTGACTCATGTTATGTATATTTGGGTGCGGAACCAAATAAGGCTGGGAACTGGCCTACAAACGCACGCCCTGTCATGGAGCGAGTCAGCCACGTCTTTGTGATATTCTTTGTGCTCCTTGGCAATTTTTTGGCACTTTGGCACCGAAACAACGTGGTGTCGCCGCCCGTCTAGGGGTTGCTGTCTAGTGGATGTATAGGGGGTTTGCTGCCTCCCCTTCGCCTTCGCCATCTCCCTGTCCTCTCTCTCTTTTTAGCCTGGGGGGTAATTAGGCGGCTAATGTGGGCCTCTTATTAATCAACCCCCCCCCTCCCCCCTTGATCAAGTGTGGGCCCCAAATAATGTCAAATCCAGAAAAATCATAGAAAATATTGATTTGAATATGTTTGAATTGGAAATGAAAGGAAAGGAAAGGAGATTGAAGGAAAGGAAAAGAAATGAAAGGAAATGAAAATGAAAGGACAATGAAAGGAAAGCAAAGGAAATTGAAAGGACAATGAAAGGAGAGGGAAAAAAACATGAAAGGAACATGAAAGGAAAGGAAATTGAAAGGACAATGAAAGGAAAGGAAAGGAAATCACGAAAAGAACCAGCCAGGGATTATTGAGTATTATTTGAGGCCTGGAGTAATTGAAGGTTTGGGCTGCTCGTGGGGGGTGGTCTTTGTGGGTTGATTTCAGGTTGCACATTGCAATGCCCAAATAAGCAATTTTAAAAGGAAAATGCAGCAGCCAAATCAAAATTCAAGAGTAAAGGAAACCACAAAATAATCAGGTTTTGGAATCAGCTGAAAGCTCAGAATCAGCTTGGATGAATCAAGGTCTGGAAGCAGCTGAAAATCAAGATCCAGAAACCATTTAGTATTATTTGAGGGCCGTTTACAAATAGGAGATCAACATTAGCAGAGGTAGCTAGTAGCTAAAGTTAGCTTCTAGTATGAACGCAGGATAGCTCACGCTTCTTCAAGGAAGCACCACTTGAGGGCGGGGGAGCTTTCTTGAAGAAGCGCTCGCACTAATCACTAATGATTTGGTTCCTACATTTTTAGGGGAACTTAAACACACTCTACTGCAGTGTGCTGGACCTCACCCCAAAGGTAGGCAGCCGACGTGGGCCGGGCACTCAAGCGTGCTGCACCGCCCTCAATCACAAAAACACCCGAGAGATCCCAAGACCTACTCCACTGCGACTCAAACCACCACCGCGACACACTATACTATAGACAGCCAACCACAAATCACCATGCACCACTTCATCACGTGACAATACACATCATCACAAATTACCAACTGAATACACCCCATCATATGATGAGATGAGACATCTCCAAACATAAAATACCAAACACGCAGCACACAAACCGCCAAGCAGCACTTAAAAACCCCACGAACCCGTAGCGCACCTATCACAAATCACCGCATTGTGCTTCAGCACATGACACATCACAATGCATCTCACCACACCTCACGCATCACAACACCACACATCACAACACCGGATGCAGGCACGCTTGTTTTATCTCATGACATGTCCAAGGTCTTTGAATCGGCTTTACTCTATCAAGTTTGGATCTTTGTCGTCCCATGCCCACAGATTCTCTCGGATGCTCGAGGTCGGAACGAAGCCATGGCCACAAACATACTCTAAATATGTTTGGTATCAGCGGCATATATATACACGTGTGTATATATATATACATATCACATATATATATATATGTGGCTTCTGAAACCACCACAGGCTCCGGGTTTGAAGTGCTTTATCAAGCTTATTTCATTCGGCTTCTGACTATCTAGACTATGGAGTTTGGACAATGGACATGCGCACCCGCCGGCTCACCCATGATTCAGAGTCTATGGTGAAGTGTGGTTGGTTTCTTGTTTCATTTCCGACTTGTGAGTCGAGAACGTCTTGTCTCCTAAGACTCAGTAGGTGGATTAATGTTTTGTGCTGCTTTGACTTGGAAGTGCAGCTCTGAAGAAAGCTACGCCTGTGACTCATGTGATGAGGCACTCTCATAGTGTCACCACCAGCTTCTTTTTGGCCTTTGTGTACAGTGGATTTCGTCGACACCAGTGACGCGCCCACGGGGTCTCCAGATGACCTTAGGACAAGCCAAATTTAGTAGATACTTGGGCTGGGACATGACATTCTCATCGCCAAGCGTTGTATACCCATCGTCGCTTCTCCTTCCCTTTCCTTTTTCCTCTACTTCCTACTGCTTCAGGGCTCAGACCACCAGGATCACTCGAAGTAAAGTAAGTTGATTTTATGGAATCTCTCTAGACTTTGTAATGTTTCCAAGCCCTCAACACATTTCAGACAGCATGCACCTGATTGGGTTTAACGTATCTTTGCAACAAAGTACATGTTTCTTGTGTGATTCTGCGATCCATAGGTTTTGCTCATGCTTTGGGGGGTCTTTGTTTGTTGAAGCTAACGGGTCCTGTATCGATCCCGTGCTTTTTTTTGGTGGGTATTGTATTTGTGTTTGTGTAGTCATGTTTGTCATGCGCAATAACGTTCGGTTGGATGTCACTGCATGTTGATGTACATTGGTTGGATGTGCTTGGACGATACAGGGGGGGTTAATTAACTACGTTTGGTTGGATGTGCTTCGGGGATTGCACCGATGGTTTCGCATACGATGTCACACGCATCGCACCGCACCGAATGCTGTGGGACATAAAGAATTTCATGCCCGGAGAGCTGGCTTGTCAGAAAGATTTGAATGACCAGTTTGAACTTGTTCATGCCTTCCAATGGCACCGCAAACATCGAGGTTCGCCCTGGAAGGACACGGGCATGCTGTCGAAGAATGTATGAACAATAAGCGCGCTCGAGACCCAACACACGCACACACTTAGATATAGTACTCTCAAGAGCAAGAGTCAGTTGACAGTTTCCCAATCTAGTTACTGCATTGCATTACCCGATTAGAGCGCTCGCTCGAGACCCAAACACACGCGCGCACCCACACTTAGCTTGGTGCTCGCAAGAGCTAAGTCGGTTGACGAAGTCCCACTCTAGTGATTACACTACCAGTGTAGAGCGCTCAACCTGACCAGAAAAATGGCCCTGCTCACAACGGTAAGGTGAAAAAGTCCGCCTGAACAGTATTGTTTAACCGACAAAGTGAGTGCTGCAGGTACGCCAGCAGGTCTGGTATCACGACGACATGGATGGGTCTTCGTTGGCTCGTGCCATCCATGCGTCCACGAGCCCCCTGCCTCTTTTTTCTCCGAAAGAAAATGCAACGTCCCCTGCTGTTAAAAATTGGGTTTAAATACTTGACAATGTGTGCAGCCTTAGAAAAAGGCTTTGACACACACACACACACACCACGCCGATATCGGCGCTCAAGTGAGGTACTAGCCACCTAACAAGCCTTAGAAAGAAAGACAAAGAAAAACAAAAAGAGCAAACGAAGAGGGCAAGAGAGAAAGGTAGGTGTAGTGACGACGCCCACTAGGTACGAAACCTTCTAGTTACTGAGCAGTATGAATTAATGCAAAAGTTAGCGAGCGGGACTTTAGTCTTAGACCGCCCGGGTAGCTAGGACTAGGACAGGAGAAACAGAAGGAAAGGCACCAACACACAAGTGTGTTGAGTGAGTGCGATTTCCTTCTGTTACCCTAGATAGCGGGTGGGATAGCAACAGATTAGGTGCAAGGAGGTAGGGGGAGGGTGGGTTGGGGTGGCCCGAAGGCATTGCCGTCACCGGCGCTCAAGTAAAGCCGTAATCGGCGCTCCCTTGATTGAAAGGCACCTGGAACCTAAAGAAAGGCCTCAAGAAAACGAAAAGCATCCGCAGGAAAGAAAAACCAAACGGACCAAAAGAGAACCCACTCATGTTTCTCGCTCTCCTCTCTGGCCTGTGAATACTTAGCAGCATGACGTGGACAGGTGATTACTTAGCAGCATGCGAAAATCCCAACTGGAGTCTGATCCCAGTAAGCCCTGCGGCTTTCAATCAGCCATCTCGTGCAGTTCCGTAAACCAGTGAGATTGCAGAGTAGATCACGGGAAGGAAGGAACATTCAGTGGGGGTCCCCCAGTATCTGGGTCTATGCACATGCTGCGCCCCTCGGTGGGGATCACACCACAGCCCGCAGTGGGACTCCGTGGCGACACACACTTAGCTTGGTGCTTGCAAGAGCTAAGTCGGTTGACGAAGTCCCACTCTAGTGATTACACTACCAATGTAGAGCGCTCAACCACTCGCTCAACCTGACCTGAAAATGGCCCTGCTCACAACGGTAAGGTGAAAAAGTCCGCCTGAACAGTATTGTTTAACCGACCTGAACAAAATCACCACAAACAGAAACTGTTTTAGAGAAACTGCCATTATCACACTAGCACTCCATATTGTTGGCCTGCTTGTTCAAATCGAACAGTGGGACATGTGATGTTTTATTTTTGTTTTGCTCTGAGGCTGTATATTACAATAATTGCATTCGCTGTCATAAGAGTCATCAGCGCCGTGTTTTTGAAAGAGATCGTGGCGTGGTTTCAGCAAATTTTCTATTTGACTCTTGTTTGCCGTGCATTGCATGTGAAAGGTTAACAAAGTTGAGCATAGCGCATTTGTGGAGACATCCAGGATACTTTGGATGCTGCTCAGAATGATGCGGAACATTTGGTGGTGGACAGATTGCGGAAAAAGGCTGAATATGTGGAGAAGTGTTTTGGTGGCAATCAAACAACATTGTTCAGACAGCCACACTCAGATATGTTTGGTAACATACATAGTTTGCAATTGGCAGTCCACTTGGGAGACTTTCTTGTATAGGCATCAACACCGAGTGGATGCAATTTCCAATTGTTTTAGTTGAACACGTGGTACCCACAAGCAACTTTACAAAAAAATACATGTGGCCCAAACCAATCTGGTGCACAGAGCAAACATTCAAAAGTCATTGCAGAGGAATGCAAATAAACACATCATGGTTCAGATTTGAATGCGTAAGTCCATTACTGTATTTAGTTCACTTCAGTAAATTCACTGTATACTGAGTTGACAAGGTGAGTTGCATCACACTTTTTGTTTGTTGTTTCGACATTCCTATACTCCTATACTGTACTGGGTATGCTGCAAAGCGTATAAAGTGATGCGTCAGCAACTGAACAGCAGGAAATACCTGATTATGTTCTTTATATCGCTGGTTCTCTCTGCAAACCGAACTTGAAACACCCACAGTAGCCAGCAGAGTCCCTGTTTGTCAAAACTCAGATATGAAGGTTGGAGGCGATCTTCCGAGCCATCGATGACTCCGGGGACGGCATCATTACAGAGGCGTTCGCAAAGTGCCGTATAGACGAAGGACAGTTATATATTCAGTGTTCTAAATCGGTTTGGGATGGATTGGGGTGGTTTCAGAATGTTTCAGAAACTTGCGTGCCCACCCAGTGCATGAACCTTCTTCCCCTTCCCTCATGGAGTATCCTGCATCGTTTGAGGCGAGAATGAATGAGATTTTGTCGAATGACAAAGTTGCTGCATACTTTCAAACACTGGACTTGGATGTCCATGAGGCAGGGCTTTCTGGCTTCCACTTCCATAAGGTAAACTTGTCGGCAAAGACACAGAATCAAACGTTAGTTAGATTTACAGTTCTAGTAGATGCAAAGTGTCAGCAGGCTTTTCCTTTTGCGCTTGTATGAAACCACTGTTGTCAATGAACTGAGTGCACAAGAGCAAACATGTGCATTGAGTCAAGTGGGTTCTTGATTGCCCAATGATTGCACAACGGAGCTATCGAATGCTATTGACAGTCCTTGTTACTTCCATTATTTGTTGCGTATCACATATGATATGTTTGACTAAGTTGCCTGCGTCCTTGTTTGGTGAGATTTGTAGAACTGGAGCAGATTTCCTTGTGACTTGGTAGGCAGCAGGAGTAACAAGGAACTCGAAGCAGATACGTTAGCCGTCGATCTTATCAATGAAAGCCCATTGAATTTATCAAGTGTCGGGGCAATGAATGCCGTGTGTGAAACTGGTGACAATATCGGTGTCAAATGAGGTGTCAAAGCTAGGAACACTAGGATCGCGTTTGCGCTTGCGTACTTTTGCAAAGCCTTATGGAAAAGGACAGAAAGACGGATGTGATGGTTGAGACAATGCAACTGAACTGATGCAGGCGTGTTCAAAAGCAACAGAAACGGATATGTATCAAAACCAAACGACGTGCCCTTTGACGCTACTAGGGGCTCCTGGCTGTACTACTAGGAGCAAGAAGCTACTAGGGGCTCCTGGCCTTACTACTAGGAACAATGTTTGCAAAAAAAAAATATATAAATAGAATTAGAACATGCCAGGTAGTCCAGCAGTCCGTTTCCCAGACAACCATTCATGGCCGCAAGTTGCAAAGGGTCCAATGCGTTGCGGTCAAGTGCTTAATTGATATCATTACAGTATAATATTTGTTTCAAATCACAAAGCACCTGCCAGAAATCCACGAGAGTAGCTCGTTCAGTGTCATCAGTTCTCTAAGGCTGAACTTGTTAAAGGATCCGATTCTTCCTTCCCCTGCTTTTCAATGCTTTGTGTGGCTGTGGTCCCGTTCTAGTGGCAAGCGCGCCTCAACGCAAACAAAGAAACTAACGAAGACAACACAAGCAGGCTGCAGGTATTTGGTTTCGAGGATTTCCATGAACCTTTCAAGTCAATCACAAAGCTCAAAGCGCCACGCTTTGGGGTCGACAACTCTTACCGTCGGTCTCAACGGGTAGTAGGGTAAAGCTAGAATGTTTGTGGGGGCTGCTGTTAACCCTTTAGAGCGCGTCAAAGCACAACCATAGCTGGCCGTTTACATTAGTTGGTTGAGCAATAGAGGGGAATACCCCCAAGTGAGCAACCAACAGGTCTACGGTGCCAAATCGACCCCTGTGTTCTTCCCCAAAAGATATTGAGCGCAACAACGCCTTAGGGGAGCAATAAATGCGATGAACCTGGCGATCAATTTCCAAACCTTGTAATGCACTCAAAAAGGCATGCGACTTGGGAGTTTTATCAACATCTACAGTACATTGGACAAGGAAAGGTTCAAGGAAGATGTGCTTATGCAGCTGCTTTCATTACACTCCACCTGTTTTGTTTTGTGTCCATGAACCCATGCGGATTGAAGATTGGGGGAATTAGGAGATAAGATCCGGATGGACAACTAACATGCCAATGCTACAGACTATATCCCTGGGCATTGAGTGTGTGTGATTCAACAACTGTTCTTCAGCAGAAAGTGTGTGAGTGAGTTCGGTTCGGAAATATCCTGCTCTACCCACCCATGCCGCCCATGCCTACTATATTCAGAAGCCAAATGATCTTTGTCCTTGAGGGAACTAAAGGCTGGTGGCCTGCGTATGCCAGGTCGGCCACCTGTTGTGAACATGCAGTCAGAAAGAAAGGGGAAGCAGCTTGCAAATGGCATGCCAGAAGAGTTGCAGGGAGCGGAGCGCCGTGTTAAACATGCCAAAGGTAGGGCTTTCCCCAGGTCCTGCGGTGACCACTTTGAGTTGTACTCTATTGAGCCACCGGCCTACCGAGCATGTCTAATTGGCATATCCGACACGACGCCCTCAGCGCACATCCTGACACCATGAGACTGACGGCATGAACACTTGCTCCACTCCACGATTCCTGTGCCTACCAGACGCGTTTATGTTGCAGAACTAACCAAGGTGGTGGCCCAATATCTGACGGCTTTGGAAACTATGATAGATCTAGACACTCATCATGGGGAACTTGTATAAGCCTGCTGGCTTGTAGCGCCTTGACCGCCATGGACTAGAGCGGCTCAAAAGAGATTCAGACGCCGCAAGAGAAGCCCTTACAACTGCGGTCGCAAGGCGTCGCCTTCAAACCAAGACGGCTGCCGTAGTGCTTGAAGATGTCGTTGGGCATGTAGTTGGACCACGACCCCCGGTAGGCCGCGTGTTTTTCTTGCTATGCTTTCTTTTTCGACGCTTTTTTTGCATCCCAGCTCCAGGTCTTCGTTGCATTGCACAACAGTAAAACAGTGGGGGGGGGGCGAAAACAATGACGTCGGTCTACATCGTCGCGATCGTCTCGTATAAGCCCACCTTGACGAACGCGGCTTGCAATTTTGGTCGGTGATTGTCACAGTTGTCAAAACTCGGTCTGGTCTTTGAGTTTTTCATCAGGGCGCTGCGCTATTCCACCTTTTGGACAACGGAGACGGGGAGGCGTGGACTTGACATGCAGCTAGGTAGTTCAGGGTTGACAACAGAACGGTTTGTTACACGCGCTTTGGAACATGTCGCGTGCGTTTCTTCAGCTTGTGTCACTATCATTGCTTTCGTATCCTCGCGCGTTGCGGCTTGCTGCTGTTGCGCTACCAACTTCGTTGTATGTTGTCAGGTGACATTGGATGAGTTCATAGATGGCATCATGAGATGCAAAGGGCCAGCCAGAGCTATCGACCAGGTTGCAATGCACGCGGACCTCAAGCAGCTGGTTTCTTGTTCAAATGCGAAACGTCCCTACATTAGTCTGAAGTTTAAAACGCACTGCAGAACGCACTGTGGCCGCAGAAGAGAAAACTGCAGAGTTCCCAGCAACCTTTGACTTGCATGGTATACACATAGTCCAAACATTACAATGACGCGTGTGAGGTAGAGTCCCTATTCTCAACCAAAAGCCACAGTTAATGAGATTGGAACAGTTGGGACGAGTCGTGTTTTTCTCTATTAACAACGTCTCACAATGTCCTTTAAATTTGATAAGGGCATTGTCGAAACGTGGGGGCGCGGCCAATAATCAGACTATACATGTGGCAGGGCTTTCCGGTCTGCGGTTGGAAAATTGGACATGTAGGAGGGTCAGGGTACACTGAGAACTCTCACCATCAAATCGGTTGCTGCATCTCTACTCAATAAGTCAGAGTTGAATGCAACGTGAACTTTTACAAAAAGTCAACTTTCCCGCTTGGATGCAACTTAGCCACGTGACTTTTACTCTGGAGCCGGCCGCCAATTCTGCGCACTTTGTTCCTTTAATGGTTGTGGCCGCAATGTATCCCAAAATTTCTGGGCGTTCGAAACGCCGGCCGGCTTATCTTTTACTGTCAACCCATTTAATTTCTCCTTTGGTCACGGAAGTGTGTCTTTAGAGCCCTCATCTACCGGGTTTCTTTAGAGGCACGCCTCTTCCTTAGCACAAATCTAGACGCCCGTAAGTTCCCCACATTGACGTGTGGGATTTTTGTTTTTAGTGTGGTATCCGCTCCTCCTTCCTCCTCCCGCCTCCCGCCTCCCGCGCCAACCAACTGCCACCAACCAATTGCCACCAACAAATTGTCACCAACCAATGTCAACAACCAATTGCCACCCACGAATTGTCACCAACCAATTGCCACCCACCAATTACCACCAACCATTTGTCACCAACTAGCTGTCATCAACCAACTGTCATCAACGAATTGCTACACAACCAGTTGTCAACAACCAATTGTCATCAACTCACCAACCAATTGTCACCAACCGATTGCCACCAACCATTGCTACCAATGATGTGCTTGCCACTTGTCTTCTCCAGGGCGTCGGATGTACGCCCCGGTGCTGGCTGGCGCTGCTGGGTCTCGCCGCTGTTCCGCTGTGATTTGCGCGCGAGGTGTTCAAAAACATTGTGTTTTACAGTGTTTTTTGGGCGTGGAAGATCCACAATTTGGACACCGGTGAAATGCAAAAACTGTGGGTTTTACAAGGGTGGTGTCGGTAATGCGCGCTGCCCGCGCGTGCATAATCGGAATTTTTTGAGTCATGGGCCCGTGTCAATGCAAATGGCGCAAAACATACCCCAAGATGAGCCAACAGAGGCCCCAAGATAGGTCTAAGATGGGTCCAAGAGGGGAGGCAACAAATGGTCATCACTCATCAATTGTTACCGACCAAAATCTCATCAATCAGCTGTTACCAACCAATTGTCACCAATGACAATTGCTTGATGACAATTGTTTGAGGACCATGTTTTTTAGAGAAAAAGGCCCTCAAAAATAACCTTTTCAGAAGGGCAGAGACCTACCAACCATTTGTCACCAACCAATTGCCACCAACCAATTGTCACCAACCAATTGCCACCAACTAATTGTCAACAACCAATTGTCATCAACCAATTATCACCAACCAATTGTCATCTGTCACCAACCATTTGTCACCAACCAATTGCTACCAACCATTTGTCACCAACCAATTGTCATCAACCAGTTGTCATCCACCAATTGCCACCCACCAATTGTCACCAACAAACTTCCACCAACCAATTGCCACCAACCAATTGCCGCCAACAAACTGCCACCAACCAATTGCCACCAACAGACTGCCACCAACCAATTGCGACCAACCAATTGCCACCAACAGACTGCCACCAACCAACCAATGGCCACCAACCAATTGCCACCAACAAACTTCCACCCACAAACTGCCACCAACCAACTGCCACCAACCAATTGTAACCCACCAACCACCAATTGTCCGCTCCTGCGTCTGGTGAAGTTGTGAAGATGTGGGGTTATCCGGTCCTTTAGTCCAAACTTGGCAATTTTTTTTGTGCTTGCTCCGGGTGTCCAAAATGGGCCCAATGGGCCCGTAGAGCATTTATATATAGCCATACAATCACCTTGAACTTGGATTGGATGGTTTTATATATTATATGGAAACGTTGTTGTTTTTTGCTTCTCTGAGTCGTTCGCCTTGAAATAGAGCAATGACCAAAGTAGGTTTATATGAACGCACACACGGGGTCCATGTGATTTTTGTTGGTGCCTGTTCATATATGACATGCCAGATGCGCCAGCAATTATTTCGACCGCGCAAGCGAAGGGTCATCTTTAAACTAAACAAAGTAGAGCGACCCTCCTCATTTTCTTATCACTTTTTGCATCGCAATTTCAACAGTGTCACCTCCCTGCCGGCGCGCAAAATTACGTCCGCGACGCCGACAACTCCTTACGATCGCGCCTCGAATGATCGCGCCCCGTCGCTGGTGAGCGGGATGCTCTGCCTGCGGGGTCAATGTTGTCTCGTGAGCCTATATACATGCGCGGCGATGTACTACCTCCTTGGCGACGTGACGTCGCTGTGTCATGGTATACGGTTTAGTGCGTTCTCCGCTCGGAGTGCGTGCGTTTGCGTCGCCCTGTGCTGTTGGGGAATGGGATACGCGGGTGTAAACGTGAGCGGGGTGATTGGGTCAGATCGTTGCATCTAGCCTGCGGCGATATTGCTGCGCCATGCGGTTTGGCGAAGCCTTAGTTGCGCCGCTGGAAGCGAACATGCGGATGTGTATATATATATATATAGCATGTCGTTTGCGAGCAGGATACTTGGCAAGCGCCTGCGAAGGGCTCTTCTGAGAGAATTCCACCAACTTCAGATTCCTCATCAGCGCCGTCACCAACATGCATCGCCCCCATCGTCATCATCATCAACATTATACGTGTTAAGGAATGACTGCTATAGACACTGTAGATTGTGAAATTACTTCAACCGCATGAAGGATCGATAATTTACGTGCTTTTTCTTTAAGCATTGCTGCTTATACCTATTTTGCGAACTCAACAGGGTGCTTTTGGGCCACACTCTGTCCAGATAACGTATTGAGGATGCCACAGAGGGCTTAGGATAGGGTTTCGGTATGTTGAGAGGTTTGACTGACGCAGGACATGAGCAGCGCAGGATGCAACGCGTACGACTCGATACGACCAAAAAGGGTTGGGCTGCAGGATCGCCAGACAAGAGCGAAGTCAGGACAATATGTGGGAGTTGATCTTAAAAATTCGTGTAAGGAGTTTTATATAAAACTGCCTTTCAGAAGAACCATTCGCGAAAGGACCTTTGTTCCACAAAAGGTTGAAGGTCATCGTTTCATATGTTTTCCTTTCTACCGACTGACAAAGAATATAGAAATACAAGGCAATCCTCTGACAGAACCGGTGGGCGGAAGTGTCCCCGCATGTCCCCATGCATTGCTACAAACGAACTGAAGCCTCAAAATTTCCGAGGGTTCCGTGCCCAGCCCTGGCAGTGCGTAAAGGGTTCTCCGATTCCTGTCCCCACTGTCACAGACTAGCAACCTGAGTAGTGGCACAGCCCTGACAGTGAGGCAACGACCTGCAGCTGCTCTGACGGGCTGCGCAGATGTTTGCAAAAAGATGCAAACTGATTCCAGCCACCAATTACGGTGGGTATCGATTGCATCATATTCAACCTCAAACTGGTGTCTGCGTATGGACGTGGCGTGAAGCAACAATATAGGGCGACGCGTCAACGTCGTGTCTGAAGACTGGCAGGTGCGACGCCGTGAGCTAAACTCCTCGAAACGATTTCAGCAATCTCTGAGGTGGTAAGCTATAGAAGGCAGGTTGTACGGGGGCCAGGCACGCTGTGCATTCTGTGGAATTTTCCCAAATACACCTATCAAGCCGCCGCGCTGCAAGAACCCCGTTTTTTATCAAAAACGACATGCGCAGTTGCGGCCGCTGCTTAACCAGGAGCGGGTCCTTTTGATTAGGCGCAAGGCGCAAAGATGTCGCGGATGCCTGGCTCTCGAAGCGGCTGAGTTGGTAAAATGGCATCAATAGCCCCGCCCCTTTGTTCACAACAGCTTTTTTGTGGCGTTGCGGGGGCTGAAGGCTGTCGGCTTCCTGCGTGGGGAAATCATCAGTGAAATTTCGCGAAAGGTGCGCGAAAGTTTCGCAAATGCGCCGCTGATGTCCAGGTTCCGAGCTTGAGGCCCCCAACACTCCCCCTAAGCTGCATGATTCACCCGTGTTGGTAGCTGGCACGAGGATTGAGTTGAGTTGTGCCTAATTCTATTTGGCACAGTTGTCGCACAGATGCTGCAAGTGACCCTGAGTAGCTGTGGAAACCCTCAACCTTCTGCTGGGGTCATGCGGAAACCCTCAACCTTCTGCTGGGGTCATGCTGCAAGATGTTTGTCCCTATTGTGCGATTCTATGAGCAGTTCCTGCTCATGTAGGACCATGCTTCGCGATGAGGCCGCCAAAGATCCGCGAAAGATGTTTTTTCCGCGAAGAATGGCCATTCCAGGATGAAAGAAATTGATCAACCACCATGTATATATATATTTACAGATGTAACGATGTATTACCACGTTACAATCTAAAATGGGTGCGTTTAAACACGGCTTGGTCATTTTATATGATTCTCTTGGATTTTTTGTAAAATAAGTTTGGACATGTTGAGTCACATATGTAAAAGGTACCTTTGTTTTTTTCAAAACCTTTGGACATTCAAATCAACACAAAATTGATCAGGAATGAAACACATCATGCCCGTCACGGTCATGATTTTGAAGTCTGGGTTTTCATTAATTTTCAGACCCATTCTATATGACTCGGTTTTTACTTATTGTTAAAATATGTTGTATGATTCAATGATTTCAACAACAATTGACATTTGACCTAGTGCAACCCGCTTTATATAGATTGGTTTGACTAAAATAAGCGTGTTTGACTTTTTTTCTCGGTAGCAACGGTGAATTAAATAGATATTTTGGTGGGCCAAACAACAAAGAGGACAAACATGTTTCAACAACAAAGGCATGGTTGGTCTCCTCCGAACATCAGATATGATGGATTTTTTGACTGCGTTTAGAGGTCATTGTGATCTTCTAAAGTTATTTTTTAAGTGTCCAGGTTGTTGTGTTTCAGGTGCCATCATTTTGCGTGGCGTGGAATACGCACAAACGGACAAACGTATGATGGCGGAGCGTTGCAAACCACGAAATTAGGGCGTTTCGTTCTTCATACTGCATGATTGTTGATGAAACAGTTTATAGATTGGCGTGGTCAAGATTTGTTGTGCCCGTTCACTGTCCAACTTCCGATCCTTTCCGAGGACATAAAACTTGCAAAAATGGCGAGGTATTTCAATCACTTCGTTCCTTGGCATCTCCCAATGCCTCGAACCTGCTTTTAACATGCGGTTAGTTGGCCGGGTTTTTACTGAGTCGGGTTTCATCTTGAGTCGGGATAGGTTTTTGTTGTCGCACGCAAGGCTGTGAAATATTGGATCATGATAAGAGTTTTTCCCACTAAGGTTTATTTGTTTTCTCGGATGTTGTTCCGTTATCGCAGACTTGCCGTGCTTAGTGTTTACTGAGTTTACTGGTTCCACTTGCTGGACCTTCAGAACAGGCTATGGTTTCGTGTTTTTGTTCCCGTTGAATGACAACCTCCATGTTTATTTGACTTCCCGTTTCTTCCATTATTTTTTGGGGGCCCAATGGGGGACTTTATTTTGCCACACCAGTGCACTGATTGCACGCTGGCCTGCAAGAATACTTGAGCCTGCTCTTGGTGTAACTACTTGGGTGCGGGTCTCCAAATAGTGTAGGAAAACTCATTGCAGCGCACTGAGGACCTTAGCCCACAGGGCATCGCTACTAGGAGCAAGAAGCTACTAGGGGCTCCTGGCCTTAGTACTAGAAGCAAGGACGCTACTAGGAACAAAGAGCATCGCTACTAGGAGCAAGAAGCTACTAGGGGCTCCTGGTCTTACTACTAGGAGCAAGGACGCTACTAGGGGCTCGAGGCTCCTGGCCTTATTACTAGGAGCAAGGACGCCACTAGGGGCTCCTGGCATCGCTACTAGGAGCAAGAAGCTACTAGGGGCTTCTGGCCTTGCTACTAGGAGCAAGGACTCTACTAGGGGCTCCTGGCATCGCTACTAGGAGCAAGAAGCTACTAGGGGCTCCTGGCCTTACTACTAGGAGCAAGGACGCTACTAGGGGCTCCTGGCATCGCTACTAGGAGCAAGGACGCTAGTGTAGGAATACTCGTTGCAGCGCACTGAGGACCTTAGCCCCAGAAGCAAAAAAGACCGCAGCAAAAAAGAGAGAAGCAGTGTCGCTGGGCGCTCCCAAGCGTTGAGAGGATTCCTTGCTCATGACGCTGGTAGTCCGCAGCAGAAGCCCCGGTGAGTTCCGAAACCTGAGTCGGGCATGAGTCAAACTTGGTGCAACCTGTCTGGTATAGAGGCGGACTAGGAACAAGAAGCTACTAGGGGCTCCTGGCATCGCTACTAGGAGCAAGGACGCTACTATATAGGGGCTCCTGGCCGTACTACTAGGAACAAGAAGCTACTAGGGGCTCTTGTGGTCTTCTCCAAGTCAACGATCATTGACCTTTTCCTCGTGGTCTATGTGAGTCGAGTCTCCATGTCCAGTAGATGAGTGCTGAACACCATGATTTTGCAAGCCGGGTCTTCGAGCAATGAATTTGGATGCCAAAGTGTGCAAACCTAAAATACATTAGTAAATAACAATGTGCTCAGACGAAAACAACTGATTGAGGGCGGCTGAGCTTGTGATCCGGTTGTGCAAAGTCTTGCAAAGAAGGCCTATCCTCAAGGGATGAGCTGAAGGTTTGGCATTGCCACATGTTGCCAGATGCCACTCTTGCGTCAAACTTCTGAGGCTTTAAGGAATCAAGTGCAACACACAAAGAGATCAAAGCAGCTTTCTATAGAAAATCAGACTCGTTTCCAAGTAACAGCTCCGAGGTGAATATTGTATCGCTGGTTGTGGAACTATGTGGAACTGAGATTTACACTCCAAACGTGCCCACACACACGTACGTATGCATTTGAGTTTCAGGCGCCAAAAGGGCATGGACCGCTTTGGAGGAACACTTGCAGTGTCGGGCAATTAGCTTGCTCAACATGCTGCATGATCGGCCCATATTGACGCAAGGCTCAGGCATGTTGCAGGTAATTACGCTGCAGAGATGGCTTCTATTGAGGGTTTCTTTTTTCCGCTGACGTGGACGGAAAGCAGGACAATACAGCACTGGACAAAAGCTGCACTTCCTGAGTATAAGCGCAATACACCCGATGTCCGACTCTATGCCCTTTGAATTATTGCGCGGGGGGAACAGACATTTAATGTAACCAGAGTTGTTGGCTCTTTGTATTCTTCGCTCAGTGAAGCCGGGGTTGGTTAGAAAGCTTCATGTCGCAAGCGAAGAGAAACTGCTACATATTGTGAGAGATGTTCTTTGGGGGATTGCTGTCGGCCACTAGAACAAACTGCTAGCGAAAAGCGGTCCCTGTTGCCATTGAAAAATCAGGCGCCGCAAATAAATATTTTTGGTATGTTTGACACTAATTAAAGGAACTGCCCTCCGCTTCTACCAGGGGGTTAGGATCAAGATCAAACGAAGGATCAATCAAAGATCCCGCCCCTACGTTTCGACTACTACATGGTTGACGGTGTGAAGAACGTTTAGCGACAAGACATTCTGAAAAGAGCAAACATGTGCAAGACTTGGCTTTGCCGTGCACTGGCTCCACACGCTAAAAGAGTGGAAGAGAGCTACGGACTTGCAGCCCTACAGCGGAGCATGATTGCATGTGATTGCGATCCAGCAACATATGATGTGGCACAGAGAGTGTTTTGTTTTTGTTGTTATTATACAGTGTTGAGCCTCTCAGTTGGTTTGAGGTTTTGCTGGATCAGCCTCGTGCAATTTCATGCCCATAGAACAATCCTGCCAAGGATGTTTGAACAAGGTGCATTTGTGGGCATTTTGCGGATTCGTGAATTGCCAACCCCAGCTGGAGAGCAAGCCTTCGGTGCTGCGGGCCATCATACAGAGCTTGCAGCAGAAAAGCTAGATTCAAACCATGGGTTGTGTACAAGCACTTCGCCACTCAAATTGCAGTTGTGTCCAGATTCTAGATGCCACCGACTGCGACCCAGCAGGCGCTCAGCAGGCCAGCGTTTAACGCGGTGCACTGTCTGGCCGAAGGGCCGAAATCATGTGCGCAAGCCAGGCTTTGTGCTTGTCAGAGCTGCGTGATGTGAGGGCAACTTGCAACGTCAAGCAAATGACCCTACTGCAATTAGTACCTATCAGGAGAGGGCCCAAGGGAGAATGATGAACATGGGCAAATAAGGATATAGAAACACAATCTTTAAGGATTCTTTTGTCATCTCTTTGTTCTTCTATTGGAACTCTTGTCTCGCTTGGACCTTGAAGACTTCAAGGTTTCACCTTGCTACCTTGTTCTTTCTTGGTTTGACCCAAGACATGGGTACCCTGTGATACCAAGACAACTAAGACTCTTGACCATGACAATCTGATCTGGCCAGCGTCAAGAGATCGCAATCGATGTTGACAAGATATACGTGTTGCTTATTATATCATATAATGTTATACGTTAAACAGCGGGTTCGCTTGCACTTTTTGAACAGTCAGTGTAGCTGTGGGTTTCCAATTGTACGGACAGCTGAGGTATATAATTTGAAACCCAAGTAATGTGACCCAAAACTACTGATCGAACATGTGCAATGTGACGCACATATATTATGTATTTTTTTTAATAAGGGGTGGCCTAATTAATTATTCCAGGGGTCATGTCACCTACTGGGATAGTTTTTTTGGAGTATATAATTTCGATTACATAATATTCAAGCTAGGTAGTGGTTTAAGGTACTACCCTGGAATTCAGAATAATTTTAGAATACTCTTGCAAGCCACCCTCGATCTGGCTGATGCTGGCTGTGTCAATCTAACCTGTCCGTATCTGCAACGCTGCTCTTATCTCTTGTTTCAGAGCCAGAAGGTCTCACAGAACAGAAGATCAACGAACATATCAGAGGAAAGATCCTAAACATTCCTATAGACATTCCTAGACAACACACAGAATATGTTAAATTTGACTTTTCAACACACAGACTTTTCCACACCAAAATTTAACTAAAGTTGAGCCCGTTCACATAAATTTTCTCTCTTGAGTGTATCAGGTACAGAAGTCTGAAAATTATTCTGCAATGTGAATGACATATTGGGATAGTTTTCAGAATCTATTTGGATAGTGGTCAGAATAATTTGTTCATTATTCCAGGGGGGGCTGTGAGAGGGAGGGCCTTAGGCCACCCCCTATTTTTTTTCTGCAAGATAGACATCAGTTCCAAAAACCCTTGGGATTGCTTGCCCATCATACCACCAGTGCATGACACTAATTCCCTGGAGCACACATTTGGTCAACGACCGCTTTCGCACTTAGAGTCAGAGTGACAAAAAGGGCGCCCATGAGTGAACAGGTTGCGAATCCAGGTCTAATTCAGTCTGAGGTCGCCCATGTCACCGAGTTTAAACTGCTACTGTTCTTATGGTATGTCAATGTGGTTATTGCAGTGAAGCTACCATTTTTCCTACTTTGACGAAACCAGTCCATAGATTTATTTGTGTTTCTTTGAGTTTGGATGTTTTTGAGTCTCTCTTTTTTGGTCGCTCTTGATTTGACGTGTTAATATAATATACTTTTATTATATATATATGAATCTTATGTGTTTCATGACTCGAATTTTTCACAACTACCCCTAGCCTGCCTCCGATGTTTGCTGCCAAGCAGGTCCATCGAATCTCTCTTGGCCCAGACATGCTGCTAGGAAGCCATTGCATTGCAGCTTGGCTGGTTTTTGACCAACCAGAAAGGGCAGCAGTCTTGATCGGACAACCTATACCAAGAAAAGGACACCTAGCAGACCTAGCACAAAAATTGGTGCTGAGCACACCAGACTAGACACATTTTTGCATGGTCCATTTGTTAGATGCTCGATGCTTGACATTGTTTACCCATGAAGAAGTATTAGAGAAAGAAGGTAAACTGTTCATATCTGTGAGATGGGAAGAGGCTGGGAAGAGGTGCTTCGCCACGCAGGTCTTGGTGCACCACTACCTAGATCGGTATTTGCATACCTGCCCCACGAAGCTCTTTGAAGTCCCAGCAGAGGCCCAGCTCCTTTGAGACTTGGCACTCAGCGTTGATAGTGAATAGCAAAGTCTGGCATAGCCACAGATCGTGAACATAATATGAATAGGATTGAATAGGTAGCCCTTTACAATCGCTTTGAGCTTCACAGGATCAACAGCTGCAATCGTCTGTCCTAAAAGACTCTTCTTCCTGCAGTATTGGTGTTTGCAAGAGCCAAAGGAGGTCTCAAATGAAGCTTGATGGAGCTTGCTGCGCAGCGCATCCTGCAGGTTGCCAAGAGCAGAAGGCAGAGACAAGCGCGATTGAAGCGGACGTGAGAGCGACATTGAGTTACATTTGGAGTAGCAGCGCTCCAGACAAAAGATGCGAAACAATGCTGCCAGAGATGCTTCCCTGTGGTTGTTTGACGATTGTCACCAAGTGGCCACTGCCTTTGCTTGGAACAGGATGGTGATATATATTTCATCATATTATATATTTTATGACATGTATACGGTAAAAGGACAAGATGTCGGCAAGGCTGTTGACAAGCAGGCGGAATGAACTTCTCGGAGGTGGTGACATGTGGTGACAAGCCAGCGCAGGAAAGCAAGGACAAGCCTCCTCAGCCTGCTCTTTGTAATTACTTTCAGCCCACATCCATAGAGTGTTCGCCAAGATGCGACTGAGGTTTTCAACGTGGCATTTCACCCGATTTTGCCCAGCATCATTTGCTCCGGCAGTGATGACCGGGTTCGCATCCCGACTATTTGTAAATGTGGATGCATCACTCATGCTCTGGGTTGGTCGACATGAAGTCCAATTTGTAAGGACATGAGATGCGTGTACCTGTATGTGTAGTGCATCAGATTGAAGTTTGAAGTGTTTATGTCACATTGTTTGCCAGAAGCATCCAGAGAACGGGCAGAGGTGTGTGGTTGCATTTTGGTTGTTCTGTTGGTCAGATTTTATTGTCAGAACCTGAAGGACTATATAGATCTATATAGTATGAACTAGCCATTTCAATTTCACACAACAAACATTGATAGACCTATATAAAGACACCCGTTTGGTCTTTCGCATGCCAGACAATCCGCATTTGGAACTGGACCCCAAGCTTTCGTGGCCAGCGGCAGCTCCGAAGGCCAGCAGAGTATGCGTAAGCTCCGATAATTGTTTTGCAAGGAACAAAATGTATAACGACCATTTAGTAAGTATATA